CATTGTAGCGTGGATAAACATTTATGCCTGGCAGAGATTAAATAAAATAAGACAATCAGATGTATTAACTGCAGCTATTTCCGACTTCATCTTTTGAATACTGAAGTAGTTCAGTGTAATTCTTTAGATTGTTGTGTTGATAATGACTGTCACTGGTCGAAAATTCCACATAAAATTATAATTAAAATAAAAAAATGAAGTCAGAAATAGCTGCCGTTAATACATCTGATTGGATTTTGAAATCGTTGCCCTTTACTGATATTGAAAATAGGACAAAATATTGGTAGGCTCGTTTCAGCCAATGGATTTTTCTCAACAACATATACTTTAGAAGCGACATTAATATATGTTAGTAACGAAGGAATAGAAGAATTTAAAAGTGTATTATTTTGAAATTAAAACAAATTTCAAATTGAAAAATGTTGTCTTTGCTAATATATGAAAATATAGTAAAATAGAAGATGAAGATAAAGTTCTATTTAGTACTGGATATTGTATTCAGATAAAAAAACGTTTTATGCGATTCAGATCTTAAATTGTGAAAAATTCAAATGATGGTAACAGATGAAGGTATACATGATATTCGAGAATATAATAATTCAGAAGAGAAACGAGTGAGAATGTATTCAGTATTGGTCAAATTTATTGAAACTATTTAATCTTCTGTAATCTATCCCCCTGGCCAAAACTTTTGGCATCACGAACGCCAAGAAACTTCGACACGTAAATAGTCTTTTGTTGAAAATAACGAAGTCATCCTTTAATTATATAGATATGCCACGTTTTTCAAACAAATATGCTTTTCTTTGATTAGTCCAGCGCAAACTTTTTCCCGGTTTTGACCGTTTTACTGGGAAGTTCACTTTTTTGCAGTCTGACCAAAAACACCATGGATTCATGGAGCTCGAGTTGACACTTTATTTCGGAGAATTGAGTTCTCTGCTTGCTTGCTCTTGCTAGGAAACGTTTACGGAAAATAGCATCTTCCCGAAAAACTTTCATAATCCGCTGCTGCCTTACGGTGAGGCTAAGTTCGTTTGGCAACGTTCAGCCGCCTCTAGTCGCTATTGTTATTACATTCAAACATATTACTTGACTCTTCACATTCTTGACAACTTCTCACTTGAACATAACAAGACATTTGTGAATCATGTAATCAGAAAGAGAGAGAGGACGGTAATCACAAGAAGACAAGACAGGAGATCAAAGAACTGCTAACACAATCCACGGAAGACATCACCCGACGTAATAATGACGACAGAAAATAAAACACGCTGTTTTGTACGGTCTACTGTTCTATCCTTTATTCATTTACTGAAGGAACTCCGTTGTAAAGACAAACCTACGGTCAAGAGAAAGCGGAGTGTCGTATGGGATAATTCTAATCCAAAACTACCAATTCAAAGATTAAGCAGTAAACCCGTTCTCAACGACCTTCTCGTTCAAGTAATGCCCCTTTTCTCAGTGTCAGCGGTGAAGCTATTCTCCTTAGAAGTTGAGCTCTGTCGGAGGAAAGTGAGAGTTCCGAGAAGAATGCCGACTTATTCGCCTATGATTTAGAAAAAATGAATTTTCTCAGCGAGGAAAAGGACTTTTTAAAAAATGTCTTCGTAACTTTGAAGCTGAGCTTCTAGCGGTTGTGACAAGGTGCAAATATTGTGTCTATCCTCTCTACACAAACTCGTGTTAGGTCTGCAAAATTCGGTTTGGGTTTTTGACTCAAATTCGTTTCGAGAATTTGGCTTTTGGATTTAAGGATTTGCAAACAACATTCCTAGAACCGGTTTTTCATAAGGAATCTAAAGATAGTAGCTTCAGAGTTATACGACTAAAACGAAAAATGTTATGGCGTTTTTCCTGAAAACAAAAATGTTTTGGGTTTTTGCGACTTTCTCCATAATCGGAGTTTTTCTCCATGTAGATGCGGTTCAAAAGAAGTCAACAGGTGATATTCGTGATCAGCTCGACGAGACGAATCAGAATATGTATGATTAAGTCAAAAACAAATTTTGCTCGAAGTTGGAATTACGGGCACCTTACGTAGGTCAGAAATTTTCTACTTTTGTGTTAATTTAGATTTTGAGCATATAAATGTTGTAGAATATGAACGAAAAAGGACACAACGCAGGTAAATAATTCTAAAGAGACGTAGGCAACAAGCTACTTGAGCTTGTGACTTCATCTTTGCATGCGCCTTTCAGACTTTCACAATTTTTCTAAATGACTAAAGGACGGATAGACGGAAAAGAAAATAGATGTATGAAATGAATGAAAGTGAAAGTTTCGTTCTTCATTCTCATTTCCAGTGGCGGCGCGAAGAAGTTAAAGCAGGGGGGGTAGTTTCAAGAACCGGAGTAAGTTCGAAAAGATGTTCTGGCAAGTTTGATAAAGTAAAAGAAATAATCAAAATTTGATATTTTTTCATTTCGGATTTACAGTTGTATAATCCGTTATCTCCACACTTTGCAGACACAGGAAGAAAGTAGCATTTTTTCACTGTTCCTTCATATCCTTCACAAAACAACATACTACATTCTACGACCAGATTTATTTCTGGACCATCGTTCTACTAATTCTTGAGTATTCATAGCATCTACAAATACTGTTCCTATTGCGCGACTCATATATAAAGCGATTCAATTACGTTTAAGATTACACTGATTCCATTCTTGATTATGATAGATCCTAACTGGACTCCAACAGGACTCGATAAAAAACACTCAAGTCCAAGGCTGTCAACTAATGCTTCAGTAGGGACTTGGACCCGTCCTTGAGAAGGAGGTGTTCCACCTTGTTCTAGCTTTTCCCGATTTTGTCACATTTTTGTAGCAAAGATGGCCGGAAATTGGGGAAAACAGGCAATATCTGCGCAAAAACCGTAAAAATTGCAAACAGAAGTTTGGCAAAATCGAAGTAAACTCAGTCCATTCTTTCATAAAATCGAAGTAAGTTTTCCGTACTTTTGGCTCAAATCGGAGCAAATTTTCAAGGAAATATCTGAAAGCAGGGGAGGGTGTACCCACCCCTCCCGCCCACGGTCGCTCCGCCACTGCTCATTTCGTCTAAATGAAAGACAACTATAGATGGATAACGTTATAGAAAAGAAAAGAATTGTCGTCGGACATTACACGTAGAAAACGAAAAAATATAACATTAGTCATTCTCTCATTTCTGTGCGCAGTCTTTTATTCAAATTACCTTTCTTCGTTTAATAGTTTGAACACATACATAGAAGCATCATGGTTACTGTTGACCATGTATGTGCAAAGCAAATAGGTATATCTAACGACAAATGATTTCAGCCGCATTGATCTCGAACAATAAGTAATTGTCTGAAACAATTCATGCGCGCCAGATTATAAGGCATGTGGCTGTTTTTTGATCAACTCGAGAACAAAACCGATGGAGATTTGCAGTTTTCACTATTCGATAGCCAAGGCTTTGAACAGGGCCGCAAATAACGCGAGGATGCTCAGCCATCGAATAATTGAAAAAGTTGTTGTTATTTAATCCATTATTCCTCGCAGAAAATTTTTTTTGCAGAAAGTGTCGCCGATATTCTTAAGATTCTTGTACAAAACTAAAGTTCGCATCAACAGTGTAATCGACACAAGAAACTGCCAGTTTCGGTGGCAATTTGCTACCGAGCTTGAAATGGTGTGCTAGCTCCCGCTCTCGGAACTGATATGGAACTGTCACACCCCTACTAGCAAATAAAAAGAGTAATAAATATCCAAACTATTTTTAATCGAAAATGCACGTCAATATTTCGTAACAACACTAATTAGAATTACTATTATTGGGCTCCGACTCTTCTCGATGCTCTTAAAACAAGAAAAAGAAGATATATGATGTGCAGTATTTTCGATTAGGTGAGAGAAGGTAGTGGAATTCTCCCACGTTATTAGAAATGAATTATTCACTTGAGAAAAAAATGTACGAAGTTCTTAAAAAAGTTTGCTCACTCAGAAAAGTTGACTTTTTTTGGGTTATCAGCTAAATGTTTTGAGAAAAAACGTATCCAGAAATTTTTTTAGAGTTGCCCCACCTTGCCAAAGTTATGTCGAAAACGCTAGTGATGTGAGTGAAGTAAAGAAATTGATCTGATTTGTCAAATCCTGCGGCAAAAATCTTTTTTTCCTCCGACGATCGATTGTGTTGAGAAGCATGTGAATGGAGTATCCGTCGTGTGATCCCTGCTCTGTTTCATCCTAGTGCCCCCCGGTCGTCATGCAGTTATTACCTCAAACCTTTAAAGTCTTTGATGAGCAATAATAACAGAATAATATTTATTTTTAAGGAAATTCTATCTCTGGAAGTATAGGTTTCAGTTAGACCAATTGACTTGACAAAAATACATGTGGCTAGAGGCTAATAGAGTCTAATTTTTGATATTTTACTTTTCAAATTACTGATGAGTATCGAAAGTCCAAAATTCACATTACTTTGCATAAAGATGTATTTGTAATCAAAAACCTAGGCAGAATCTCAAAAATCGGGCTCTATTAGCCTCTAGCCGCATGCGTCAGCTTCAGTTTAAGATCTTCCCGACCTCTCTGCGATGTTTCATTACTGAGAAAGCTTGCAGCCACGAAATGATGTTAAGGTGAAAGTCACTTTCGACATTTGGTGGCACCGGTATCTGATGAATGTTTTAGGGCTTTCGGTAAAACTCTCATAACTGTTGATTAGAATATCATTCACAGCTGGGAGAAAGCTCATTTTGATCAGAAATGTTTGCTGGATTTCCTGATGTCATTGGAAATTTTTCTGGGTTTGTTTTTCTATCGGAAAGTGAAATTTTCTGGGCCCTGAACGACGTTTGTTTGGAGGTAAAGAAGCTTCTTCATGGCAAAAGTACAAAAAGACCCCGCTTAAAGTAAAATAATCCAAATCGCACACAGCAAGCAGACAAAAGCCTGAGTAAATAAATAAACAACTTCTTGATCATCTCTCTTCAATTTCAAGTAGTAAAACGATGTGGAATGTTATATGTTTTTTTACGCCTTATCTATTCTTTTGGTTGTTAACCATCCTTTTAATTTCTTACCAAGATTCGTAGAATAAAATTCATTTTTGTAAAATGATGATGGTGAAATATAGAGTTTATATGACAAAACTTGTGGTAAATACGCAATAAAATACGAAATGATCAACAGATAACGTTGCCAATCGACCTTGAATTCTTGACATGCCAGAGTAAGTGACAGAATAAATTGTGGCAACATAAACAGTTGTGGAACCATAGTCATCGTGGGTGCTAAAATTAATTCTTGATTCTCAATTAACAAATCAATATAAACACGATAACAGGATTTTGATGGTTTAGGGGTTAGCTGATTGCTTCGTCTAGTGGTAGCTGCAGCTCGTTTACGGGCAATCAGACCTATTATTGTTGTGGTAGACAGAAGGTTAATTACGAACGGCACGGTATAATTCAAAACAACATTAACTTGGTTGAATGTGGAAACGAGAGGTGGGTAAGATGTTACACACCATGTACCACTTGTTAAATATTTTGGATCTTCAGTTGAATTATAAAAGATAGCTTCATGGGCGTTACATACCAAAACACCGAAAATAATGACGAATATGGTACGTTTGGCAATTCGAGGACTTTTTAACCATTGACCGGTTAAACTCCATGTAACATAAAGACGTTGAATGGCCGCCATTCCCGTCAACCAATAACTCATACGACTGAAACATGATAACAGATAACTCAACGATTTACATAATACTGTGTTCAACAGATAATGTACCACATAGCCTTTGGTACTCAGTATGATGTGCATCAGTTTTAGTAGTAACATCAGCAAGGTAAGTTGATTAATAATACTGGACGCCAGTAAATAGTGTGCAATGCCAAATTGCAGTGGTTTTTTACGTTTGAACGTAATATAACAACAAACATTGTTCGCAAATCCAATTAAAAGCAGGATAATTGAAACAGTAAGCAATATACTAAAAAATAGCCGTTGCACGATGATGGATGGTGAAACTAGCTCCTTTGTTACTAGTGTTTCAAGAGTAAAACTAAATAATTTTGTATTATGCTGACAAATACTTCCATAATAACAAGGTGGACACAGGCAAACAAAATCGTTTCGGTCATTCGGATCACCATGCACACATTGACCACCAGCAAGACATCGATCAGCACCACTACATTCATCGACCTTACTATCATAACGTGAACATTCAGCTCTGCCATATCTATCACATAAACAAAAGTAATTATCGTCATGAAAACACAAGAGAGAATATGGTGCATGACACAATAAATGATATTTAAAAATCATGATTGAAGCATTGAATGCATTGATGGAATTTGTATCGTTTAGAATAAAAACTAAAACAAAAATCATAAGAAATTAACTTCGTGCTTCAGTCGCAAGGTGTAGTTTTATCGTGTGATGCCAATATGTGATTCGTTTTGGTCATGAACGTTTTTTCCTGCTCGAAAACGATATTCTATCACTCAGAAAACCTGACGTTAACAAAAAACATTTCTTCAAAACAAATCTTTTTGACCGTAAACGTTTTTCTGAAAAACTGACAGCTTGGCTATGGGCCGTAGGGCATTCACTATAGATGTAGCGTGTGTAGACGAACATTTCTGTATACTTTTGAGTCGCACTCAACTTGGGCTATCTCATCACATTGAATACACTTGTTGAAAACATGTGTAATTTCCAAAAATTCATGTTTCCTCTAAAGTTACACTTCCGAATTGAGACGCTTTCCTATCAAACCACAGCTGAACGAGTTCAGATTTAGAATCCACATTGTTTTTCATATTTATCATTAATCAATTTAACAAAAAAAATCTTAATATAGATAATAAGAGATACACCACCTTTTTCAAAAAGGTGGTGTATCTCTTATTATCTATATTGAAATTCTTCACCTTACAAAATGATTCAAAAAAAATCTTTTTTCTTGCTTCCTGCAGCAGTATCCGAGCTCTATCAATTCTGGAATTTTGCTTTTTGCCAGAGCGTTTTATCCTCATCATGAGAATTTTTCCCTTTGAATAAACGTAACTACATTTTACAAAGCACATCAAGAGAAAATTCTAGAATTCGACGTTTTTGTAGAGACACCCATTGACGCATAGAAATATCAAAGTTTGTTCTTACCTGACAAACTTCAAAGTTAACTCCGAGCTCTTTACGTCGCTCCGTTACGGAAAAATCCTGCAGCTACGAAGCCGTGTAAACGTGAAGTTTGCTTTGGACACAAAGTGGCGCTAGAGTACGATGCATATTTTAGGGCTTCCATTTAAAATTCTTATACCTTTTGGTCGAAGCACTACCTGGAGTTGGGCGACGTCTCATTCTGATCAGAAATATTTGCTATACAACCTAGTTGCTTTGACGCTACTTTTTCTCTCGATTTTGTATTGATAACACGCTTAAGAAAGCCGCTATGTCGCCGCTTTATATCTGTTTACCTAAGCCAAAAAACACTTACCGGACGCTAAATAGTTAATATTGGTGAGATTTTTTTGAAATACTGTTAGAGTATGTGTACAGTAATTTGTCACATGAATCGCCGATGTTAAATTCATATTTGACGTGTTCGACGATATAATATACAGTAAGAAGTACTCCGGTTCTTTTAGATTCGCTACAAAGCCATTTGTTAATTCTTGCTTGTGATATAGTTTCATAATGCCCAGCATTGGTAGATAGTGGTGGTTATGTACGACTTGTGTTAAATGCGGTGGTTCACCTTGATAAACTCGTTTCTCTAGTACAATTAAGTCAAGTGTCTCGTTATCAAGATCACAGAGTTGGATGACCGTTGCTATTATCCAATTCGGTGGAATTTGAATGAATGAAAGATCTGTGAACAAGATATTCACGGTTGCTCATTCATATTGACAATGATCACCGAAGTATTTTTTATCACAAACACAAAAATAATCTCTTGTCAAATTATCTGAATTAACATGACACTTTCCACGATCATTACCACCATTACATGGGTTTTTATTTACACACGTATGATTCAAATGACATGTTGGGCCAAAATGACTAATTGAACACAGACAAATTGATTTCGCTTGAGAAAGCGACCGATGTAATGCTTTTGTTGAACAATCATTTGGTAGTGACGATAGATGTTCGCAATGTTTACCGTATGAATTGGAGTTGCAATAACAGTAATACGCAGATGTATCGTTTATTCTGTTCATTATTGGATAGCATATACTATTGCTTAAACATGGGTTGGCTTTTTGGCAAGTGTGATTTACTATAAGACCTTGGTTTTCAAATTTTAGTATTTTTGCTAAGCGATATGATGGCAGAAAATTAAAGTGAACTGGATATTGCCAGACACCGAGAAACTTGTTGGTTAGCGTTGAAACTTTATGATTAAGCAGATATGCTTCAAAACGAACTTTGTAGTTTGACGATGTAATTTTTGGACGTGAATAAACGAAACTGAATCGAAATTTTTTATCATGATCATTTGTTAATATTAATGGTAAATGGAAGTCATGGTAATCGAGAATGTCTTCATCTATTAATAATAGACATAATATTTTAATTGTAACACTTGATTTTTGCTCCAGTAATTGTTGCGGAATATTACTGAGGCTTACAATGATGGTTATACGATCACTGAAATATTGACAATATTTACCATACAAACTTGGTGGACAAAAGCAGACTGTTTTATTGTTATTAACATCATTTTTCTTGAGGACGGCAATACCACGATTACAAATCCAGCCAATTTCCCCAATATTGGCATTTTCAAGATCTTGAATAGCATTTCGAACTTGCAGCGTTTGTCTCAGATCAACATGTTCATCAGCACTAACCATAAAATAAAGAATATAATAAGTTATTATTGAATTACTTTCAAGCCAAAAAAGATAAGCTCATATTTTCGAAATAGAATGTTTTTGAAATTATTTTTCAAAAACCGATTTTATAAAACATCTCTGGGAAACTATTTCGAAATATAGCAAAGTATTCGTTTCTTATCATGAGGTGATAGCCCAAAGCGTTCTCTTTAGATTGGAAACTAAATGACCTCTTCCGCCATTTAAGCGTGTCATCAGTTTTTCTGAGATCCTAGGATCGATATTGCTTTAGATGTGGTAGACCAGAAGATAAATGGAAACATAGGCTAATGGCTATACTGATTCCGATAGCAACGCTTTATTTCGACAATGTTCCAAAAATCTAGTTTAAACCTATATCAGGAGAAATAACCTATTGTTGCCTATTTTCGTCTAACATTAGAATATTCCTAACTAACGAGGAAAACAGTCCCAAGTGAGACACTCCGATTTCATTCGTTCGTACGTCGATCGATAGAGGATAGTGACCTAGTAAAAAGCCTAAAATGATGCGGGCTCTTGAAGACCCGGCTTTCTGGAAAACCAGTTTTTCAGAAACTCTAAAAAATAACCAAAATCGAAAAACCGGATCTTCAAGAGTCAAGAACCAGAATCCTTTTAGGCTTTTTACTAGGTCACTATCCTCTATCGATCGACGTACGAACGAATGAAAACGAAGTGCCTCACTTGGGAATGTTCCCTTGTAAGGTCAAACCTATGGCAAAATATCAAATATACTCTATTTTATCTACATTATGTCATGCAGTACAATCGTTACAAAAAAAATACGAGATCATGCACAATTTGAGTCGCTATGAACTCATTCTTCTGTCGTTTTTTTCGCCAGGTATCTTATGTATTTAGGGTATCGTGCAATACTTTTTGAACTCACTTTCAACCTCGCCGCTCATTCCTCCTCCTACTGCATACGAATAACCTTGTGCATATGTCTGGTACATATATGCAGAATATAATTCGCTTCGAACTGAAAATGTGATATTGGAGTTCGCAGCGAACTGATAGTGTGCATACTATGGTAAATACTTTGGTTTTAAGATTTCCTACAAATCTTCTTAAGAAAATTTTATACTAATCATAAATAAAAAATCTTACTGAGTAGATAAAATAAAGTATATGTTGATATTCTAACGTGCTTTGGATCGATTTTGCCTTACGAGCGCACCTCCCGAGGTGATTAATCGCTTTTTGATCGAAATCTAGTGGGTTATAGGTTATCGACCATGCTAATTCCAAATATAACCATGGGATTTCTCCATAGCCCTTCGAAGATCCAGTCTTTTGGAAAATCAGTTTTTCAGAAACTCTAAAAAATAACCGAAACGTTTCCTAATGAGGTATGCTTGTAGCGCGCAAATTTGTGATTAAAATGAGACGTCTCCCAGCTCTATATGACCTTTCTTTGCAAAGTTATAGAATTTATAAGAAAAGCCCTAAATTGTTCATTGTCAGGTCAAAGCTACAGAAATAAAAAGGAAACAATTTATTTAAGGCTTTTCTTATAAATTCTATAACTTTGCAATTAAGAAAGGTTTTGGTTATTTTTTAGAGTTTCTGCAAAACTGGTTTTCCAGAAGACCGTATCTTCGAAGAGCTATGCGGAAATCCCATAGTCATATTCGGAATCAGCATGGTCGATAACCTATAACCCACTAGATTTTGATCAAAAGTGCTTTATCACCTTGGGAGGTTCCCTCGTTAGTTACGACTATTCTAATTTTATTCAAAAACAGGCAAAAATGGATTATTTCAACCATCTTAAATCTTATTACATATATGTTCTGCTCAGAAACATCGAATGAAGAGTTAGTTTTTCAAATCAATGACCATAACACAAAAACACTGTTTAAATGGTCAATTCTTCAAAATTTTAACAATAGTTCAATTTTTTTATTTATCGTTGATAACTCAATTAGAAAAACTGATTTGTGAAGATCGTGCTGAATCTCGAGTGCCGAAAATCTCATAATAGCTTGCAATAAAACAAATCTGACGATTCGTCTGCTGAGTGGCCAAACCTGGCTTATAACTGAATTTTTAGGAAGAAAATTGGTCCGTTTTAGAACTTTTTTATTAGTCAACAATGCGACTTTTCATAAAATTTCTCATGTTTGTAACAACATAAGCAGTGTCATAAAATTCAGTATGATCAACAGGCTATACTCCGTATATTTTCTAGATTCTGTTTTGCATACCTACGCTGATCTCTTATAGTATTTGGATGGAAGGAGATAAATGGAGATCTGAGACTCGTATGGAATCTGGTCCATACATTGGGTGTCTCCTATACAAACAGAAGATTTGGCTCGGTAGTCATATTTTTCGAAGGTTGACGAAGTACACTTCCTGCCAAAAAAGTTCTCTAAGTTAGACTTATGGCTACACTTTGGTTAAAATTACTGAAAGTCTCGAAAACTTTTTCTAGCGAATACTAACGGCCATTCTTTTTTGTTATAGACAATAGTTGAGGGATAAATTGGTAAATGAAGAATGGTGGCTGAAAATTTTGTCCATGCATGAAATCGATAGGGAACATTGTCTGAATCATCACAGTAGTATTCATCTAAGCCGAATGGTTTACATTCAATGCCACCATAACATCTTGTCTCGTTGTAAGCAATTGGAGGAGAGTCATCTGGCTTCTTAGCACATTCTTGTTGATTAAATTTCGGTATTTCCTCACACAGTAATTTGTCCTCACCATTCCAACAACGTTCACGACATTGGTGTTTATATGATATACACTGTTCAACATGGCAATGAAAATCAAAGCCACGTTGTTTATTAATATTACCACCACAGCCTAACACATTTCGTTCATCTAAACCACCATAACAATCAATTTGGCCATCACCAATTTTCGACTTAGCTATACATACATGATTGAGTGTGAAATTCAATGGATTTTGAACATTAGCTAATATACAACCATATTCTTCTAAATGATGACAAAGATTAAGTGGAAATCGACTAATTGAAGAATACAAAACTAATGAAAACAGTTTTTGACTTATATCCAACTGTAATGCTGTATTATGTTTTGATTGTTTTATGACTGTTAACACTCCAATTTCATCGGAGGCATCCGAACAATCCCAGATTCGATTAAGTACCCAATTCGTTGGTATACATTGTCCACTCTCACATTGATAATACTCTTTTGGACATTGCCATTTTCGACATAAAAATGATTGTTCATCATAACCCATTGGGAAATCCCATAGACTATCACAATATTGACGAAATAAAATTTGTTGCCGTTTATTTTCTCCAGTTGCGACTTGCCATGATTCAATAATATAGTTTTTCAACCGTTTACATTCTGAAGTATGACGACGTTGACATTTGTAATCCTTAGTTAAATCTAAGCGTTTTTCTTCATTAGTTTCATCTTGATGTTCTTTACAATGATTATGACCGTCTCCAATCGCCGATGGTAGCAAACACGTTAATTCATCACGCAAGCAGTTAAAACGATGTTTTTGGTGACTTAAACATTGTGCGGTAATCGCTTCATCTTCAGCCAGTCGAATCGGATTTGAACTACATATATAAGGAGTAAGTATATGTCCTCGAGGATAATATATACGTTTTTGATCTGCTTCATATGATCCCTCACAATCTGAAATAAGTTTTTCATTCCAATAATAAAAAAATTCATCATGTTTACGTATTAATAATAACTTTAATAAAAATATACATTTTTCATCATAATCAGTCATATCTTCTGGATTTTTTTCTAATGAAACATTTGATAGACAATGACCATTCGACAGTGTCCACATTGCAACTATTTCACAAAAATAATTTCTATTTCGATAATTATAACAACTTCCTCCTCTGGGTGACCATTGCAATCTAGAATCTTCATAAATAAATTGTCCATCAGCACAAGAAAAATATGATTTAGGAGCTATGATTTCGTCGCAATCAAACCTCGATGAATATATAGGACAATAAATTGTCTTGCTTTTTCTATTACTTCAGCCATATGAAAAACAAAATATTGTTCATCCGATGCATCTGGACAATCATTTTCACCATCTAAAAAATATTCTTGAGGAATGCAAATTCCATTTGAACATCGATATTCATTTTTGTCGTCGCATTCATTATATTCCAGAATTTCACAATGATCTTCATCAACGCCATCTGTGCACTGCTGCTTACCTTTTAACATTTTAGAGAAACAAAGACCCATTAATATTATTATCACTACTTTATTCTTTCAGTCTCTAGTCTGTATGAAAGAAAATGAAAGAATAAAGATGTTTCGATAGAGTATATAACGTTGTCCTTTTGTATATTTTTTATCGTCAAAAAGAACCATAAGGGAGTCATTTTAGTTTAAAAAAACTCATTGATACTGATTCGTCAGTTTCAGTATTATACTAATACTACCGTTTAATGCATACTGTAGTTTCTGGCATAAAATTTTCACAGTGGCTATCTTCTTAGCACGACAATATTTTGGTTGAAGCATTGAAACCGCTATGAGAAAATGTTTTATTACTACATACCATCACAAATCTGCCGCCAATCCAAACATAGAAGTCCGCTGTCACAATGTTTCAATGTTGTGTAACAAGTGATGTTTCCCCACAGTTGACTACCGTGACGAAAGCGTTGTTTAAGTTGAAATTGATATTCAGCTGTTTCTTCAAATGTATCCTTCGTGAAAAAGTCATATTCGCAATATTTACCAAATGTTCCCATCGTTGAACAATTACAAATCGTTTCATTAGCCAAATTTTCATTACTAAAAACAACAGTAAAAAAAGATGTGAAAAAAAGACTAATTTTTAGCGTAGAAAATCTCTCCGTGGGACGGTTGACATACGAAAAGGTCCAGTGAGACCCCAGATATACTTCCATAGTTATACAAGTGAGGAGATACACACCTTTCACTAGCTGAAATTCTACTCTCTAAAAAAAAGGTATCTTACAAAACTAAAAAAAGGGTATCGACATTTGTTACTAATAAGAACCAATTTCCGTATCTTAGATCACCTTTTAGTTTCTTAGGTTACGTTTACGCGTATTTCTCATGCCACAGAACCAAAAATTGGTTCTTATTAATAATAAATGCAGATACCCTTAAACGTATCTTAGATCACCTGTTTTAGTTTTCTAGGTTACGTTTACTCATATTTAAACACTATGTTATTTTTAAATCGCTGATACTAAATCAAAACGACTTAGTAAAATACGAACGAAAAAGAAATAATTCTATTTAATATTTTCAGACATATAAGTTTACAATACCAAACTTGGTTTTATTCTTTAGAAAAAAACGTTTTGGTATTGTAAAATACGATCGGTACGTATACGCACAGATGCCAGACAAAACGTTAAAAACTCGCATCGATGCGCATCCGGGCTCGGCAAAAAAAGACTTTTCGCTTTTAGAGATTGTCTAAGATGAGTATGGCTTTAAAAAATTGTTAAAGGTAAAGAAAAACCAGTTTCGTATCCTATAATACCATTTTCACTATTCAAGATCCCGTTCTGGGTATTTTCAAAAAAATTATCCGTATCTTACAGAACCAGAAGGGTATTTTAAGAATGAGAATACCCTTTTGGCATCCTGAAAAAACAATTTACAAGTGTTTCCCCGAGAACGCCGATTTCAGCAAATTGACTTTGGAAGATTATAAAAGACCTGAAGATAGGAGTAATTCATCATGCTGAGTGGAATGATGATGCTTGTTTTCAGTTCCAAAGCAACTTGGGACCACTT